TCTTCCACTAACCTTTACCCCTGAGCATGATCACTCACAAAGATATTCCAAATTTTCTTTTAAGCTTCCTTCAGTTCCCAAGATGTAGTGCCAATTTCCTTTTAACATTTATGGTAAATTCCCACTTTAGCAGTGTGATCTAAGAGATGACTAAAACAGTCATGGGATAGTCTTAACTTCCAATGCATGGTACCACTACCCCAGGCAGTGCTCTTTCTCCATGGTATACTAAAACAGACCTGCAGAGTGCAGATTCAGGGATAGGGAGCACACGTTTTTGAGAGTGAATTATTAATTTAAACTTTGAGATTTGTCACAGCTTCCTCTTGATTTCCAGACCTGGTGTGTTCTGGCTTTAGGAGAAAAAACACACCATTTATTGGTCATTAATTAGGAGCAGATACCACATCCTGCAAAAGACCATCTCAACATTATAATGTGTGACCAGAATTACAAAGGAATATGGGAAAATGAATGTAATTAACATGTAAGAAAAGAGGTGATTTATTTACATTTATACATTGATATTATTGCTAAGTTTGTTCATGCAGTATCATTAAAACAAAGGCAAGCCATGGCCAAATGGCTCAGTTGATTGGAGAGATGACCATACACCAAAAGCTTGTGGGTTTGATTCCTGGTCAGGGCACACAGCTAGGTTTCAGGTTCCACCCCTGGTTGGAGTGCATATGGGAGGCAACCGATCCATGTTTCTCTCTCACATCTCCCCCCTCCCCCCCCATCTCTCTCTCTAAAAATCAATAAGCATATCCTTGGGCGAGGATTAAAAATATATATTTTCAAAGAAAGGCAAGAATAAGAAGTGAAATAATTGAAAAGAGAATAGCTTTAACAAATATCTAGACAAGGGTCTATACTAAATTGAATACAAAACTTGTGGAACTCTTAGAAGCAAGATTTCTTTGTTAACAAAAGAGGACATTTTAAAGATTCCTAGAAATATTGAGCCAGTACCCTGTTGCTAAAGTTTTTCGAGTAAGTATCACTACACTCTTGTCAGTTGGATTACAAAAAAGAATCTATAATTTGAAAGGTAAAAAAGATATTTTAATTTGCATTTTTTTGTTTACTGGTGAGATGAATATTTTTTCATATGTCTATTGAACATTAGTATTTTCTGCGAATATTTCATCTTTTGCCAATTTTTTATTGTGCTCTTTGTAGTTTCTAATAGTTTTACATGAGCTGGTTATATATATGTTGCCTTCTGTGCTGGTTATTTTTGAAATTCACATATATATTTTTAAGATTCATTAGATATATACGTATTTTTAGAACTTGTGAAAATAAAACTTTTTAGTTCTTTAAAGAAATGATTAAAGCATCTGTGCAGTTTTTGTGCTGATGACCAATAACTGTTTCCCAAATGTGGAATACTGGACACCCACAGGCAGGGTCAAAAACATTTTGAGAAGCAAATAGCATGCTGCTCAAATACTCTACAGCTTTAAATGTGAAAGACACAAACATGGCCAAGAAGGTTTTGAGGACAGGAGTGAAATTGCACAAGTCTGAGCCCAGCATGTGCTTGTCATAGATGCTTGGTTCTCCAAGTGTTTACTGAATGAGTGAGTGAATGAATGGTTGTTCTTCATATAGGGCATAGGATTAAAAGCCAGTCTTGCAGTTTTTCCTTTGTAAATTAGCACTGAACTTTGAAAGACTATCCATCAGACTGATAGGCTGTAATTTAGAGTAAATGGAGGCTTGTAATTGGACAATACATACTAGTTCATCTTGAACATGGGACGAACTAATGAGAAAAAACAATTAGGAAGGACAGGGACCACCTCTGAAGGCAGGTCACACATTTATCTGGTAGAGAAATATTTCCCTCAGGTATTTTGTAAGATATGTTATATCTGGAGTTTGTCTTGCATAGAAAATTTTTATAAGCTATAAAAACCAAAAGTGAAAATTACAAATCTAGATAAATGGGAGAGACCACTCATCTAATCAACTATTAATGATGCGCCCAAATCTGTTTATTATTGGCCTTTAACAATAACACCCAGGGTCTTTTACTAAGATTTATAGCATGGTTATCCATATCAAAATTGTTTAAATTCTGCTGATGTTTTCTGTCAGTTTAATGTAGATTTACTTACTTCTTTATGTGCTCCTGAGTGCATGATTCTTGGCAGTCATTTCCAAATTGAGAACAAGTTTCCATTTGGCAAACTAGCCTTCCCATCATCTAGGCTCAGATGAGCCATCGGGCAGGGCTCAATCTATGAGGTATTGATACACCTTTCCCAGGCAGGGAAGGGAGAGAGGAAATATACTTTCCTTGGATCATAGGATGTCATTCATAGAACCAAAGAGGCCTTGACTCTAAGACTCCTTAACTCCCAAATCTTTCGATTCTTGTGGAAGGAAAAAGGAGAGGTAAATGTGAAATAACCTAAAATATTTGCTTCACATGAGTTTAGTTTCTCCTAGATATATTCCATCAGCTGCCATTTCACCATTTAACAACAGAGTGGTAAGAGTTTTCTCTTGGATTTAGATGGTTATGTAAACTGGCCACAGGGAAACACTGCTCCAATGCAAATGCTCCTTAGATGGGGCTTCAGCATTCAGGTCTCCAGGAAATCTCAACCAATATAAAGTGCATTGGTTATAAAAGTTCTTTAGGCTCTTCAATTGGGACTTCTGGGGCCACTGAGACACGCCCATCTTGTTCTCAGGAAGCCAAGTTTAGCCAAAGGTACAGGGAAGAATGTAGGTTTTTTATTTCAGATAGTCCTGGCTTCTGATAGCATTTCTGCCACTTCTAAGCTCCATGACCTTGGGCAAACTTTTTAACCTATCCTCAGTTTCTTTATTTGTAAAAGGGGAGCAATAGCACCTTCTTCATGGGATTGTGAGATGACTAGGTAGACACAGGTAAAAGGCTTATCGTAAGTGTTCTCACCACACATCCTCAAAATGGTAAATGTGTGGTAGTAGATGTGTTAACTTACCTTATTGTGATAATCATTTTGCAGTACAACATCAAATCATCACACTGTATCCTGTAGACTTAACACAATGTTATATGACAAATAAATCCCAATAAAGCTAGGGAACAAAGGGCCTAAAAATATTTGGCCCAGAAATGATAGACAATAAATGTTACTGTCCACAATGTTCGGTACAGCCTACCTGTGATAAGACTATTTGTGGGTTCAACAAACCTTAGCAGGTGCTGAGGCTTCTTTATGAGGAATTCACCTCATATACTGTCTATTAACAAGCACTGACTACCCACCAGATACTCCTTATCATCCAAAGACAATGGCATGACCTCTAGGAATGACAGATTTTACTAATTATAATATAAAAATATAAGTGCCATGCTAAGTATATAAATACATCAATAATTAATGATAAATTTTACCCAATAGATTTGAGGCAGATCTACTACTCCCTGTAACACCCGTGCCCCCTCCAACCCCCAAATATCACAGGGAAATTCAAAACTCCAGGGCCATCTTCCAGAATCAGACCAACAAAATGTCCTTTAGGACTCAGCCTACCCTAAGTAAAACTATCCACCCAGACCCCTCCCCCATCATGCATGGGCTGTTCAGAAAGACCAACCACTAACAGGTGAGCCACCACAGCTTTTCATTCACATTTCTTAGGAATATGTTTTCTAAAATGAGGTAAAACAGAAAATAAATTCTGCTAATTCACATTTGTGTCTAAATCTTGTTTGCTTTCTAGTGGAAGCATGAAAACAGTTCCTAAAACTTAGGGGTAAAGGGGTAAACATTTTGCACTTTTGTCTCTACTTATTTAAAAATTAGAGACTCAGTCCAACCATTTTAGTTATGGATGAGGAGGATGACCAGAAGTGATCCAGATAAGGCTCCGCAGGTAGCTGATGGCAGAAGCAGGACTAAGGTTTAACTTCTCTAACTTCTATCCTGAGCTGTGCGATGTCTAAATATATACTGTGGAACGGATACTAACACTGAACAAAAGCTCTCTGCCAGGCCAGTATGTTAACCACAGAAGTAGGAGGCAGCTGGTGTGTATATCAGGCCCAATCCTTCCCTAACATTTACTGACTAGATATGGAATAAGAACAGATATATATGGGAAACTATGGCTACCCTTGATGGTTTTAAAGACAGAAGAAGAACAGAGCTTTTTTAAAGGGAAAATGATTTTGTAGAACACTCATCCTTTAGCACAATTATATAAGAAAGGTAATATGATTAGGATAAAGAGCTTCCTTTACTTTTGAGTAAAGAATATGCTCATTAAAATCATCCTCTTAAAGAACAATAAACTTGCCAGTTTGCTCTATACAGAGTGCATAGACAAATGATTTAATTCAACTTTTTTAATTATAACAAGAATTTTAAAAACCCTCACAACTCTAGCTATTTTTGATAAATATTTAAATATGAAACATTTCAAACATAACACAAATCATATAGGCTAATGCATAACTAAATTTGGATGAAGTCTTATGAACCAAGAATACACATACTCCTTTTGTGTGTTCGAGAGTGGCAGCATGGGACCCCGGGGTCTTGGGTGGATGGAGTGAGAGCGCTCTGGGTTTGTCTCTCTTGGGCCTTTAGCTCAGAGCAGACTGAGGTTGTGGCAGAGCAATGTGGTGGTGGTGGTGGGGGGGGGGGGGGGGGGAGCAAAAAAGGCTATTTTGGGTTTTCTATAAACAGCCCAAAGTGAACTTTTCGGATGTGCTCCTTTCTAGCTTTTAGAAAGGGCTTTTATTGGCTGCCAGGAAGCAGAGAGCAGGGCTGCGGCAGAGTGATTATCTGGGAGCAGCCAGGCATAAGCTCAGCCGCTTTGGAAAACTGGGGAGGGGCAGAGAGAGACAGATTCTTCTTCCGTTTGTAGACTAGGGAAAAGGGTGTTTGGTGACATTTTGCTGAGTATAAAAGGAAGAATACAGGTTTGAAGATTTGTAATTGTATGTTAAAACAGTGACACTGATATCGAAAAACAACAACAAAAAGGGCATTGTAAACACATTTTTATTTAAAATTAAGATTTCTGAAACACCGATACTAAGAGTGGTTATTATAGGTCTTTAGCTAAATAAGACATAGCATTAAAATAATTATGTCCATTTTAACTTTTGAGAGATTTCTTTTTAAAGCACCCTTAAAACTTATATATTCAAAAGAAACTAACTATAGAAAAACTTTTATCTCAGGAATGAGTGTGAGAGTGCACAAGGGACAACAGAGCCAATCTTTAACCACTGCCCATTGATGGAGCACTAAATTCAAAGCCATTTGAGAGTTTCCTACATTGTTCACTTAAAGGAAAACAAATGCAGAGTTACCAAAGAGTTTCTTGGTAAATTTCTAGCCCTTGGAAAGCTATAACTTTTCTTAAAAATGATTTCTAAGTTTTAGATTTGTCACTCCAAAAGGTAACACACAGGATTTACAAGTATTTCATTTTTTGAGAAAATTTGAGAAATAACTACAATTGCAGCACATCCAAAAAAAACCCCCAGAAACTAGTTTTAACAATCTCTGCAAACCTTTATGTTCTACATTTATTTTGGAATCAATTTCTAAATGAAATAGAATAGAAACAATACATATGTATACTACACTGTGGAAGTAGCTTACACTGGCCAAGACATATTCAGAGCAAGTTCCTTTGTACTAATTTCCTTGAAGAGTTTCTAGGTCATTTTTGCTTGTCACAAGGACAAAGGACCTACTGTAAAAATGCTTTTAGGTGTCTGCTCTGTCAGCTCAGGGCATGTCCTCAATAACCTCTGCACATCCCAGTCTCCCACATGTAACAGCACTGTGACTGGGGACAGTCTTGCTGGTTCTCCCTCCCTGCCTCATCGCCTGCGTGACCGCTTTTCATATTTGTCCTGGCTGCTCCGCTTCCTCGGTGGAGAATGACTGACTGTGCCTCGAGCTTGGAAGCTGGGCTTGTAAGGGTGGGCTCTGTGCTTCTTTCGGCTTTCTTCTTTCTGGTTCTGGCTCTTCGCAGGTTCCTCTTCGCCCTCTTTTTGTTCATGATCTTGCTCTTTCTGGGAGGGAAGTGTGTTCTTAATTGTGTTAATGAGAAATCTTTTATTGGTACCAGCAAGAGGACACTTCATCCTGGGGGTTAGGGGAAAAGAAAACAATCACAAATCAAATAGCTGACCTCAAAGCTGAGAACATAAGCATGGCTACTGGCAAAGAGTTCCTATCAACAGAGCCAAGTTTCTGAACCCGTTCAGCTTTCCTTGCGTGCCACCTAGTGTAAACTCTGAGTACAAGGGGGAAAAGCAAGATGCTTGGAATTCCTGAGGCCTGGACCTCATCTGAACACTTTTACCCTTTCGTCCTTACTCGGACTAACTCTACTACTTCTATGTGTATGTATAGGTATTAACTGCAATGCAAATTAACTGAATCATTTAATATTTTCTACTTAAACAATAAACGACTGATTTGACTACAATCTGCATTTTGAGTGAAATACATTGTGGCTTGCTTTTAACTACCAGAGAAAAAATGAGTCCCTTATCAAGGGGAAAAAAGTATACCCTGCTAAATCGTGAATATTGGAGCAAAATGACCTATCTACTCTAGAAATAAAAATTGTCAAAAAAAAAATCCATAGGACTGAAAGGTCTTGGGTTTGATTTCAGTCAAGGTCACATGCCTAGGTTGCGAGCTTGATCCCCAGTAGGGGGCATGCAGGAGGCAGCCAATCAATGATTCTCTCATCACTGATGTTTGTATCTCTCTCTCCCTTCCTCTCTGAAATCAATACAAATATATTTTGAAAAATCTAAAAAAAGTCCATAAAAATACAATAATCATCTTTTACCTTTTAAAAACCTCTTTCACTTTCTATTTTAAGACTGCAGCCTTTACTCTGTTGGGGAGCACTGTGCACACATCCACCCTCTGGCTGCACTTCTGTGCAGTGTATGTCTGAGTAGCTTCATGATTCAAGTTCATCCAGGAGGGAGAATGTAACTAATTAACTGCTAATTAACATGCTGAGTCACGCTTATATACCACAGTATTTATTTTTCAGGTGTAGCAAACCTATCATTTTGGAAAAGAAAACCCCATACAAATGAAAACCTGCATATTTCACTTGGCCTTGAGCGGTTTGCCATATGATGAGCTAATTGTAGGTAGATACTGATCCCCAATATTGGGCTGACTGGTATTCAAATGAATGCAGGATTCTATATTCTTCATCTCTATATCAAACTTCAAAGAAAATCTCACACATTACTTCCAAATCACTCCACCAGCACCCCCTACTGTAGTGATTTGGTAGCCTATGACTGTGTAATTGAATTATAAGCAGTCATCAGCCTAGTGTCATCTATAGGGAGGTCAGACCACCTCAAGCAACCAGAATGGCATTGAATCTGGAAGTAAAAGGAGAAAAAAGAAAATGTCTCCTGTTGCAAATATGCAGCTCTTAAGCTTATATGGACAGAGAAAACATCTGAGAAAATCAGGGATGGTGTATACACCCAATGTGCTAGGCGCGGTTCATGCTCAGGCCAGAAAAAGTGGCAGGGGAATGAACTAGCACAGAACGAGCTAGAAGAGAATGTAAAGAGGAAAAGACAATGGAGTGCAGTAGAAGCAGCGGAGACATTTAGAGGTAGCGATGGCACTGGACTTTTTGGGGGAGGTGTTTTTTAGCACTGGAGTTTAGAAGCCAAGGTAAATGAGATGAGGAGCAGAGGAAAGGTGATAACGAAGAGCAAAGAAAAACAGGTCTGCAAGTACTGGGGGGACAAAACGAATAGCTCTCTGTAGCTCTGTCAGGCTTCACTGAGCTTCCAGAAAAAGCACACCAGCATCATTCGGCCTCAGTGGTAACAAGGCAAAGCCATTTATACCTCCTGGAGGTACCTCCGCACGGGGTGCTCTGTACAATAAGAGAGTGTGTGACGACAGGCAGGCCAAGCTCTTACTTCAGTGGCTCCAAAGGGTACCAGAGTCAAGGTACTACTTTGGTGAAGAAACCTGAACCACTGCGATTGCCAACTCAGCGAAGATTCAAAAGAGTATGGCACACTGGTGTCACAAAGCAGCACAACGCTGCTAGACTGCAGGAAACACTATCCTTTAACGTGTAATATAAAATGCTACTGCCCCTCGTGGCCCACATACACCCCTTGGATATTGAAGGCTAGGAACAGTGGTGAAAACTATCCAGCTACAGAAGAATTTAGGGTATCTTCATTGGAATGGGCCATCTCAGTGTTGGTATATGTAGTCAGCTCATCCCTAGATTAAACATAGGAAAAATGATTATTGCCAAATGGGACAATAATCCAGGGTCTTAAAACAAAGCCTTTGTAACTCCTGGTGAGTTCTACTATATTTTGCTATCACCCATGTAAGATCATCTTTAACACCTCCTGCTTAGCCGAGATGAACAGAGCTCTTGTTCTACTGGGGAACGGTCAAGTTCAAGGAGAGCAACGGCTGCCAGAGGACATGCTCCCTGTCTCAACAGAGCAACTGAGAATAAGAGAGAAGAGCTACTCAGAGAATAAGGTAGTTTTCCAGAATATCCACAAGAAAACTGGCATTTACATCTCTTTGTAACATCAAAGGTGGCATTCTTAATGTTGATTATGCCTGGCATTTGATTCAAGATGAAAAATCAAGGGTGACTTAGAGAAAACTGATTTTCTTGAGAGCAGGAGTGGGGAGGTTTCAAAAGTGATTTCTCCCAAACATGCCAGGACACATTTTAGAAATGATGGCCAGTGCTCATTCAATTTCTATTTACAAATAAAGCAGGTCAATGTTAAGGGGGTAGTTGCAAGCAGATGTGAAGTTACATGTGATAAACGATTCTGTATAATTATAAAATCTACACTAAGTATGTTAAAATATAAGGAGAGTAACATCAATGCTGATGTTTGAGGAAATCACATTGGCCTTAATGTGGTAATTAATTTTGCTGAATTTTTACAGCCAGCTTTTTATTGCTATGAACTCACACAACATGGTATACTAGCTGAGCACACATGTCCTGGAATCATACTATCTATTAGACTAAATGTGAGATACATTATATAATCTCCCCGTTGCCTCTTATCAGTTAAATGAGGGTAATAATAGTGACTATGTTAAAGGGATGTATGCAGATCAAATGAGAACATGTCAAGTGCTTAGAATAATACCTCATTAATAACTAGCACTCAGTAAATGTTAGCTTTGGTGCATATCCTACCTCTACTACTTAATTAGCTGTCTGAGCACGGGCAAGTTACTTAATTTCTCTGTAAATCAGTTTCCCCCGTTTGTATATATATGGGAGTCAGAAATATTTACCTTGTAAGACTATTGTTAGGTTTTAATGAGATTATGCATAAAGTGCTTATTAGCACAGTGCCTGGCATACGGTAAATCTTCAATACACATTACCTCTGGGTCTATAATTTCTTATTCCCAATTCCAAAATTTAAAAACCTCTGAAAATCAAGTTGTTTTTATGATACTACAACTCATTTGGCAGCAAAATGACCTAAGCTCACACTGGGTATTTATGTCCAGTCTTTGGTCCATTTAGGGTAGGCACTCATACGTTTTGCTGAAGAAATGATGTGTTGAAGCAAGTACCACTAGGGGTACCTTTAGTGCACATTATATGTGCTCCTGTACCTTTCTAAAGTGTGAAATTCATATCTAAATTTAGAAGGTAATCTGGATCCAAGAGCTTTAAACCAGGAATTAAAGACCTATATTATTATTATATCACTCTCTATTCATGAAAAAGTATATAGCACTCAAATAAATTAATATACCAGGGAGTTTTTCCACGATGGTAACACAAACGAACATCCCAGTTTCAAATTACCTGGAATAAGCCAATCAAGAACTGAGTAGAACATCTTATGTTTCTCAATAAGAAACATATCAAAAAAGAAAAAAAAACACCATCAAGAAAAAGTTAATGAGACATTTAATAGAAATTTTCATAAAAATAGCTAAAATGAAAAAGTTTCAGTATTTCCAGGCTATCTCAATTCTACATGGGTATCAGGGTCAATGGAAACTGGGTGTTACCTCTGAGCTTATAACTTGCATTTCCTAATGTTTTTTAAACTCTGTTCATAGATGATCCTCAGATATAAAACTAAAGGTTGAAGTAAGTAGGTGGTTTCCACAGTCCCTTCCAGATTTAAGATTCTCTGCTCATGTTCTTTATGTTCACCCTTCAGAAAATTACTCTGTTCTCATGCATCATGTCAGGATATTACTTCATTTCACTGATCTCTCTGCCTTCCTGTTTCTCAGCTCTTTGTTAGAGCCATGTTTTTCTGTATTTGAGATGACATGACAAGCTAGCATTAGATGAGTAACATTAATGAGTATTGAGCTCAATTGCTTTACAGCCTTTTTCATACCAGCATTGAGGTAAAACCCTGAGCCCTGCAGTAAGGGCATAGGTTGTGGCTGCTTGATGTGTCTGCTGTGTCTGTCACTGGCGATGCTGAAGGTGTGCTTGGGTGGGGGGACTGAAGGAGGCCCACAGGCTAGGGCGGCCACTTTCCTGTCTGCAGCTCTGACCCACACAATGTCTACTTTCTCACCCTGAATAGTTATTTTTGGTTTTAGAAAGTTATACTAGCTAGCTCATGTGGGAAGAGCCAGACTTAAGATACTGACAACATAAATTGATATAAAACTCTAAATATAGAAAGTGCTCCTGACAGCGCCGTTGGACTCAAGACCCAGCATTCTGTCTATGCTAAACTTTAAAAGGGAAGCCATTCCCGTTACTTTTGAAGCGTCACCTCAGAAGCTGTGCTGAAGGGTTCTGCACCCACAGGGGAGGTAGATTTCCAGAGAACCTGCCATAGAGAGGCTAAGATTGATCGAGGTTAGGCAGGACAGTAACCTTTTTTTTTTTTTTTTGAGTAGGCATACTGTAGAACGTAATTTGCAAAAATAGGCCACTTTCTTCCTGCAGTTATCATACTTGACTTAGGAAAAACAGTAAACTATATAATAAACCTAGAAAGCAAAAAGGGGAAGACAAATTGATTTTTCCCCCCAGATTTTAAGACTTCTGTCTCTCTCCTGCTGAAGGATGGAGGTAGTAGCATTCTATAGATTTA